TCTGCCGAAACGTTGCTACAACTTTAAAAGCACAACTATAATGACGTGGGAAAATACCTGAACAAAGCTGAATACCATACATATAAATACCCGCAAAAACTTAAGAAAACACACACACACACAGTATAAATTAAATCCAATATACCTATTATATTAATTTCTCTTATTGCTCTATGAATACATCTAATCCCTTTTAGTTTATTCTATTTTCTATCCATTGGTAAAATAAATTCCATACCATGTAATATTCAGGTTCTTCTTTTTCTTTAATTTCTAGTGTCCGTGTATTCATTTCTGCACATTCAAATATTTTTTGAATTATTTTTCCGTCCATTGGTATCTTATCACTCTTCCAGTTTTGGGCAAATACAATTCTAGCCGCTGTTAACACATGTATAATTAAATAAATCTTTTGGTACCATTCCTAGTAAAAATATTTCAGGGCTTCAAATCTTTTTGTTGTTTAATCATTTTCTCCAACCATGTGTGTATTTTAGTCCAATACCTTTTAGCTTCTGTGCAAGTCCATCACATATGGCAATATGTTCCTGGTATTTGATGACATTTCCAACATTTAATTGGTTTATCTTTAAACATTTTAAGCTCAAATTTCTTTGGGTAGACTAGACTGAATGTGTGTTGTGTTCCAGGCGAAGCAACAGCATCTCCAAGTCCCCCGGGCCCAGCTCCCCTAAGGAACCGCTCCTCCTGAGCCGCGACATCAGCCGATCGGAATCCCTTCGCTCCTCTAGCAGCGGTTCTCAGCAGATCTTCCGCCCCTGCGACCTGATCCATGGGGAGGTGCTGGGCAAAGGTTTCTTCGGCCAAGCCATCAAGGTGAGGGACCCCCGACCCCTTTCCCAACACCCAGGCATCACCTGTTAATTCCATTCCCCCCACCCAAGGAGCCTTGGAGACGATCCTTGAACTTAAATGAATTGTAGGATTCAACAGAGAACTGTGCATGTAGAGCAGGTGTCTCCAAACTTGGCAACTTTAAGACTAGTGGACTTCAACTCCCAGAATTGCTCTCTTAAGTCCACTAGTCTAAAAGTTGCCAAGTTTGGAGACTTCTAATGTAAAGCTTGCTGGTTCCACCCTGCTTCCTGTGCATCATCAGAGCATCCACTGCACCTGGATGGCAGTACTGGTAGTCCTTGACCTGTGGCCCTTTGTTTAACAATAATTCAGAGTTACAAAGTTCAGTGGCCTTGAAAAGGTCTCAGATTGACACACTTCCTTTTTAAAAAAATAAAAATAAAATAAAGTTTATTTAAGTTTCATATACTTAAAACATTTAAAAGGAAACAAACAAACATATAAACAAATATATTTACATATGTACATTTTGCAGCAGTTATTGAGCATTGGTTACATTTTTCTTTTCTTTTTTTCTTTTACCCCATAACATGGACGTGATCTACCTTGTTACAATACCTTCCTCGTTCTTTTAATGTTTTAATTTCACAGAATACTTTATAATTAAATGTATGTCCTTCATAATTTCATAACTTATTCAGTTGTCAAATGTTGCTTTTTCTTTAACCATTCGTACCAACAGTTCTAAATTTTGTAGTATTCACTATCTTTGTTGTTTTTTAGTAATTTGGTTAGGCTGTCCATCTCTGCACACTCATGATTTTTTTTAATGACCATCTCCTCTGAAGGGACAATAGACAGTTTCCAATTTTGAGCATAACTTATTCTGGCTGCTGTTATAATATGCAAGATTAAATATTGATTTTTTTTTCTATTTTTGAGTCTATCATACCCAACAAAAAGGTTTCAGGTTCAAGTTTTACTTCTTATTTAGTTATATTTAGAATCCAATTTTTGATATTTTTCCAAAACTTCTGAGCATATGGACATGTCCACCACATATGGAAGTATGTTCCCTGGGCGCAGTTACACTTCCAGCAGTTTGGGGGGAGGTTCGGGAACATCTTAGCCAGTCTCGTGGGTGGCAAGTGCCAATGATACACCATTTTATAGAGATTCTCTTTGTACGAGGCTGACATAGTTAGTTTGTAAATTATTTCCCAAATATGTTCCCACTTGTCTAATTGAATACTGTGGCCCACATTTTTTGCCCAAATTATTATAACCTCCTTGATTGTTTCTTCTTTTAATTTATAATCCAATAGATATTCATATATTTTACTAATCAACTTCCTTTCCTCTCCATGCCAATTTTTATCTAATTCTTGGTATGTCATGTTAAAACCAAATTGTTCTTTATCTTTTTTTATAATGCGTTTGTATCTGCGCATAGGGCCACCATGCTATCTCTTTTCCTTGAATTTGTATTTGATTCCTACCATTTAACTCTCCGGTTTGATGTAATAGATCTTTATATCTTACAATATTATCAAAATGTAAAACGTTGTGTAACTGCCTCCATTGTAGATAACCACAGTGGGACCTTACAGTAATGTACTTTTTTATCTTTTCCCAAATATTTAGTAGCACATTCCTTATATAATGCCTTTGAAAGTACAAGTGGTGTTTACTCTTTCCATCCCACATAAATGTGTGCCATCCAACTTGGAGATCAAAGCCCTCTAACGTTAAGATCCTTTTATTTATCAAATTAACCCAGACTTTAAGCCAGGTTGCTATTGCAGCATAGTATGTTTCGAAATCTGGAAGACCAAAGCCTCCTTTCTTTCTATCATCCTGTAATAATTTATATTTTATTCTGGGTTTTTTCCCTTGCCATATAAATTTGGATATATGTTTATTTAATTCTTCAAAAAAGCTTTTTTCCAACTGAAAATAATTTGACCCCCAATCCCTCAAGTACTCGAAGACTGCTATCATGTCACCCCTAATGCTTCTCTTCTTTAGACTAGCCAAAACCAAATCCTGCAGCCGTTCTTCCTATGTTTTAGTCTCCAGGCCTTTGATCATCTTAGTTGCTCTTCCCTGAACTTTTTCCATTGTCTTTTTTGTAGTAGGGTGACCAAAATTGGTTGCAGTATGATGAGCATCTCTTCAACCCCTTCATCATTCATTAAAAAGTTGAAGAGCCCTGGGACCATTGATCTTTGAAGAGCCCTTAAGCCCTTAAAACTTTGCCTCGCATTTGCAGTCATTCCTTTGATTGTATCCCTTTAAATGAATGGCACCCAGCTAATTGGTCTGCTGTAGCACATTCCACCCTGAAGTCTACAACAAGTGAAATTAGGTTGTCCAGCCTGAGGCAAACAGATGTTATCGCTTGTAGCCTGTAATCCAAATATAGCAGCCCCTGGTTCTAGAAAAACCCTGTCAAAGCATGGTAGCTGATCTACTGTTGCTAACATTGGCAGTACCTCTTGTGTCCTATCCTGTAAATAAGTGCCTTTTAACATAAACTCTTAGATAAGAAGGTTCCAGCTGATATAATTGGTTAATTTCCCCAGAGGGTCTTCAATAAAATCAGATATAACCCATATATGTATATGAGGGTACTGTAGTTAAGAGGTCACATCTAACTGTCTCATCACAAATGCTTTGTTCAACCTGGAGAACAGGCTTTTGTGGTGAATCTTCATGCACGTTGGGTCCCTGACTCCTTTGTAAGGAATTTTGAGAAGAGTTTAAACTTGTCTTCATTGTCTTGGAGTGGGCCCTTAACACAGGGTGTAAAAAGAACATCCGTCCACTTAGTGGTAGCGTTAGGAGGGGTTATTTGGGGTACCTTGACTTGGTTCCCAATTTCCCCAAGGGCCTTCCCCATGTGTAAACGAGTGCCCAGAGGAGAGGTTTGGCTTTTAAAGGGTTTTCTCACACCATTGACTGGCATTGTTGATGCAGAATGAATGGAACCATCTCCTGATAATTAACTTTCCGGCAAAGTTAATTAAGAGGGAAAAAGACTCTTGGAGTGACTGCTCAGAAGCAGAAAGATTAAACTGAGGCAGTCTGCGACAGTATTTTTTTTTCTTTTGAGATCTTGGATTTTCTTTAATTAGAGGGAGTCATGTCAGCAGTTATCTTTCCTTTGACTTTAAACTTCATTCTTGATTGACTCAAGAGTTATTTTGTGAGCCTTTTAGAGCTGCCAGAGGTTTTGCTGACTCCCAGATCTGCAATATTGCAAGTCTGAGATTTTCTCTCCTGGACAATGCATCTTCTGTTCCCCTTCTGACATCTGGCAGTAGGTGGTTATTGATCCTGGCTCAGAGGGACCAAGCACAGGTTCTTCAGTCCACAGCAAAAGGGGAGGGGGGGGGCTGATTGGTATTTGGTGTCTATCCCCTATTAGAGGCTTTGTGGAAATCCTGGAGAAAACCCCAACTTCTTCTATTTGAGAGAGTTCTCTCACATTGTCTAGACTCACATAAGGATATTTCCAAAGGACCTCAGACAGATTCTCATCCTCAGGAAGGTTGTTGGAATAGCCAGGTGGCTAATCCTCTTTCTGCCTTTATAGCTGGGAATCCTCTTACCATCAAATTGCTTGCAGTTGGCAGTGAAGTTGGTGTAAATTCAGTGTGGCAGATACTGTCCTCCTAGCATATAGGAAACAGTTTCCTTGTGTTGATAGGTAGAGAGCACAGTCTCTATTTCTGCCAGTATTTTCCCATTAAGCGGTTTAGGTTAAAGTCAAATGATATGACTGTATTTTTAGCAATGTTTTTTTATAAGCCCATCAAAGAAACTCTTTAACTCTTCTATTTTTGTTGAAATTGAAGTTATTTATGGATTTTACAGTATGGGCTGTTAGAAACAGTTTTTAGGCACTGTGTTAGGAGTTGTAATATTAAGAGATATTTGTTTCATCACACAGTAAGTAAGCCAGATGTTCGGACTGGATTTGACATTTTTATCTGCCTATCAAGTCCTTCCTAAGCACCTGGGATAGGCAGGTGTGGAAGTTTGATGGTTTTAAAAGTATTGTTGCAGGATGTAAGTTGTTCCAAATTAAGCTGCCTTTTGTAATTGACTGATGGTGAAATTGTTAGTGCTGGTTATTCAGAGTTTTGCAGCGTTAATTCAGCGCTAGAAAAATAACCACAGATGGCTGATGCTTCTTTTAACATCTTTATAAACATAATAAGTAGATTTTACAAACCAGTTGTAGATTTCTCCAACATGGGGCAAACTCAGACAGAAACACGGTGCAAGTTCAGAGCAGAGCTCCAGTCTTCAGCAAGCAAGTTAGTTTCTCTTTTACTTTAGTTCAGCAGGCAAGCAAGAGGAGAGAAGTGGTTTCATCTTCAATAGACAGGCTCAGAGCTTAGCATAGCTTTAGAGCTGCAGAAAACATAGCTGCAGAGTTGCAGAGCTTAATAACCAACCGTGCCTAGGCTACTTTTAGTTTCAGTTTCCAGCCTAGGCTAATTCTAGTTTCAGTTTCCTAACAGTTCTGATTGGCTGGCCTTGTTACCATGCTCTATTCCAGTTCATGAATATACTCTTGACACTGATAATGTTCAAATGGTGTTCTAGTTCTTTTAAGATTGCACCCAATGTGCCTATTACTATTGCTACTACCTTTGTTTCTCTTTCCACAGTCGCTCTATTTCTATTTTCAGGTCTTTATATTTTGTTATCTTCTCCAGTTCCTTCTATTCTGCTGTCTTCAGCTATTGTCAGGTCCACTATCCGGACTTCAGAATTCAGACAGATGGTCAGTCACCTGCTGCATAACATGCCAGACTTACAATTATCAATGAGAAAGACAAAAAAGGGAAATATTATCTAAAATTATTACTGTCTGAGAAATTTATGTTATTTTTTAATATCAACAGATGACTTACTACTAGTTTTATCTCAGGGGTCTTTCTCCTGAACTTGCTTTTCTTCTGTATTGGGTGATAGTTTGAGAAATTTATGCTGAAGCGAATAAGTTATTTTAGATCGAATCCTCTTAAAGCAGGAGTAGGGAACTATGGCCTTTTTATGTCTTGTGGACTTCAACTCCCAGAATTCCTGAGCCAGCCATAAATGGGCCATGCTGGCTCAGGAATTCTGGGAGTTGAAGTCCACAAGTCATAAAAGGGCCACATGGTTCCCCACCCCTGCCTTAATGGGAGCCTTTGCATGTGGAGAGATTCAGGTAAACCCCAATTCTTTATTTCTGGGCTTTGTGGAGGTTATGACATCTATCATTCTTTTCCCACCTCTTGGAGAGGAGCTACATTCCTATGTAATTCCAGGCCCTAGATCACCAAGTCCACGCCTGGACTATATGAATTCCCTAAAAGGGAGTTAAATGTGTGGTTGTGGGGCCAAGTAACCTGTCCTGATGCGCTAGGCATGATGCACTGACCTTGAGGTTTCAAGCTTGACACTGGAAAGGTCTGTGCCCAATTAAAGCACCTGCTTTTGAGCTGTGAACATTTAAGAGGGAAGAGGAAGAAGTGGAGGTGATGGTGGTGGTTGGGAGTTCTTTTTGAATGGTGTGAATTGACATACATGTGTGAATTGACATACATGTTTTTGGAATTGGCAACCCAACAGGACTTGGGAGAAGGATCTGCTGAACAAACGGGTTGATGGAAAGCAGTTCTCATCCAGTCACCCAGGTCATGGTGGTTCCAAAGGTGCTTTTTCAGGAGGCAACTGGACTTTCTGTTTTTTTTCTTTGAAGATGTTTCCCTTCTCATCCAAGAAGCTTCTTCAGCTCTGACTTGATAGTGGGGAACGGAAGGATTTACTATATTCCTTGCAGACACTTGGTCATCTGCATCCTTTTAGAGGGTTGTTGAGGCCACCTGGAGGTGGTGCTCCTGGTTCTTGTAGTCTGCACTTTTTTCCTCTGGAAATCCATTCCTCCTACCACACTATTCAAAGGATGTTCACTGCAAATTGTACAGCTAAAGATCTCAGTCAGGATTCTCAGTCCTCCAGGTCATGGTTGTCCCAAAGGAGCTTTTTCCGGAGGCAATTGGACTTCCTTGTTTTTTATTTTGAAGGCGTTTTGCTTTGGGCTGATGGAAAGGGCTGCTTTTTGTTGCAATCCTACTTTCAAAGCAGCTTTAGCCTTCCTTGGTCTGCCCTGCCTGGAGTGACTGGATGAATTCCTGGGCTATTGACCTGGAAGCCTCCCTGTTCCTGGCCTGTCCCCAGATGCCTGTTGCTGGCACAGAGCTCTGGGAAAGGAGTGGGGTTGGCCATCTCCTGCTAGTGCACACCCCAGAGACATCTGGTCAGCCATGGTGAAAAACAGGATGCTGGACTAACAGGGTCCTTGGCCTGATCCAGCAAGACTGTTCTTAGCTTCTTAAGCATCCCATATGTGGGTGACAGTTTGCACTAGATCAGGGCTCTCCAAACTTGGTGACTGAAGACTTCTGGACTTCAGCTCCTGGAATTCCTGGGAGCATAGCTGGCTGAGGAATTCTGGGTGTTGAAATCCACAAGGCTTAAAAGTTGCCAAGTGTTGTAGTTTGCCGGCAGCCTGTACAGACGGCAGCAGAATCAGATAGCAGGGAAGAGTGGGGACCAGTCCTGGAGTCTGGAGAGGACTTGGACGAGGGTCCTGCATTCGATGCAGGGATGGGGCCAAGATCATCTTGGAGTTAGTTGCTGCCTTTGGAGCCTTCAGAGTCTGGCAGCAGCGAGGCAGAGGAACAAGGGGAGCCTGTTCCCAGTGCGCGTGTGCACAGAGCTGCCAGAAGGTGAGAGCAACTGAAACAAAAGGGGCAACTCGGGAGTAAGGCTGGGAGAGATTAGCCCCTCCCATAAGGTATAAAGGACAGGCAAAGGTAGAGAAACCTTTGCAGGAAGCAAGGTCATTCACTCTGAATGACCTTGAATCCTTGAAGCTCTGTGTGGACTTTGTACTTCGGTTGGTTTTTTTAGAATCCATTTGGCACTCTAGTTGTTGGCAGCAATTCAAAGGAGAGAAAGGTGGGTGCTTATCTCAAGGGATGTGTGGGACTCATTACAGGCTGGGAATGAACGTAATTCCCAGCATTGAAATAAAAAGCATGAACCTAATTACAGTCTCAAGAAGCCTTGGTCAGAACACCAAGGTTGGAGGCCCCTGTTTCCTGCTAGCCCTCCTGCTTAACTCTGGACAGGCCTCTGCAGTTTGACAGGGTCTCTGCCTCCCCCCCCCCCCCCCCCCCCTTAGGTGTTCATATCCTTCTTTGAAAGGCCTCCTGGCAATTCACGTCTTGTTTGTGTAGGCCATTGTCGGTAAGGCTGCAGGGGGAAAACAGCCCAATAAAAGGTGCAGCCTGTTCATAGGTCCCCTCCCCTCCCTGTCTGCCTTGTTGACTCCAAAGCTGCTGGGAAGGGCGGGGAGGAGCTGGCTTGCAAGATTTGGGATAGGGAAGCACAGCTGAACTGCACTAGGCGCTGCTGTTTGCTAAATGCCTTTGGGGTTTGAGCAAAGCCTTCGACCTGTCAGTTTTGACAGGTTTCTGAAGCAGTCCAACTTTTGGTCTCTGCCAGCTTCACATTTCCTAGCCATAAAAATGTCACTGTTGCTGCAGCTCAGTGATTAACAACAGAGCACGAGGAAGAGTTCCTTGACTCTCCTACAAACTTTCCCAGCTTGGGTTACAGGGAATTTGTTTATTTTTTAAAAAAAGAAAAAGTGCATAGCCCTGTGAATGCAAAGAACGCTAGCAAGAAGCTACCGGATGAAAGGTTACAGATTTCTCTCCAAGTGCTAGAGGAAAATTCTTCTGGCTAATGAAATTTGTGGGGATGCCTTGGTGCGCAAAGCTGCTTGAATCAACGGCTTCCTTTCACATCACGATTTCTGCACAATGCTTAGTCTCCTTTAGAAAGCGCTTGGCTTGCACAGGATTCTGGGGGCAGGAAAGAGGGAGGGAAGCAAGTTTGGCCTCCTAGCTGAGCAGAACCAGCCAACCCAACAGAAAAAAAGAGGAGCTCTCAAGCACAAGAATAATGCTCCAGGTACAAAAGGTTTTCCATGCTCCTGTTATGAGCACCACCAGTCCTGGGATCCTAGTATGAAAAATACCCACCCCCCCATGTATAATTGGTAGAAAGGGGAGTTTTTAAGCAGAAAGCAAATAATTTCTTCCTTTGTGGGCCATGAAGGCATTTAAAAGCCTTCCGGTGCAACACACGAGCCAAGGAGCAGCAGAGGCCTCCCTCTGCCCAGAGTTGTGGGGAAAAAGTTCCAGTGAAACACGGATACCGGTGCTTGGAAGGAAGCACAGGATCTGTTTCATTTTCAGGTTGAAAAGTGTAAAGTTGTCTTTACTCTCAGATTACAGATAATCAGAGTTGGAAGGGACCGTGTAAGTCATCTAGTCCAACCCCGCTGCCCAAGCGGGAGACCCTACATCAGGGGTGTCCAACCTTGGCAACTTTAAGACTTGTGGACTTCAACTCCCAGAGTTCCTCAGCCAGCTTTCCAGGTTGAATCTCTCCTTGTTCAGTTTCCATCCATTGTTCCTTGTTTGGCCTTCGGCTGCTTTGGAAAATAGCTTGACCCCCTCCTCCTCTCTGTGGCAGTCCTTCAAATATTGGAAGATGCTCTCCTGTCTCTCCTGGTCCTTCTCTTCCCTAGACTAGCCAGGCCCAGTTCCTGCAACTGTTCATCATAATGTTTTATCCTTCAGTCCCCTCATCATCCTGGTTGCTCTTCTCTGCACTTTTTCTAGAGTCTCAACATCTTTTTATAATGTGGTGACCAAAACTGGATGCAGTATTCTAGGTGTCACTTTACTAAGGCTTTATAGAGTGGTATTAGTACCTCCCTTGATCTTGATTGTATCCCTCTCTTAATACAATTTAGGATTGCATTGGCTTTTTTGGCTGCCGCTGCACACTGTTGGCTCATATTTAGCTGGTTGTCCACTAAGACTCCAAGATCCCTCTCACAGTTACTGCTATTGAGCCTGGTTTCACCCAGTCTGTATGTGTCATTTTGGTTTTTCTTGCCTAAGTGTAGGACTTTACTTTTCTCTACACTGAATTTCATTTTGTTAGATAGGTCCCAGTGTTCGAGTCTGTCAAGATCCATCTGGATCTTGAGCCTATCTTCTTGGGTGTTGGCTATTCCTGCCAGCTTAGTATCATCTGCAAATTTGGTAAGTTCCCCTTCTATTCCCTCATCTAAGTCGTTAATGAAGATACTGAAGAGTCCTGGGCCTAAGACGGGACCTTGTGTGATCCCACTGCTCACATGGAGGGAAGTAAGCAGTGGGGTGCCACAAGGTTCCGTCTTAGGCCCAGGACTCTTCAGTATCTTCATTAACGACTTAGATGAGGGAATAGAAGGGGAACTTAACAAATTTGCAGATGCAAATTTGCACAGGGCAACCTGTGGTTAAAGGGCAGAAAGGAAGAAGCTCTCCCCAGTGCCAGCCCACCCTGGATTTTCCTGACCGCCTTCATGTCAAACCTCTCCCTTGCTTGTTGTTTTGCCTGCAGCCGTAGCAGAGATCTTGACTCCTCCATGGAGCAACGCTTTCAAATCTTGGTGGAGCAGAAGGGAAACCCCAGTCACAGCAGGAAATAATGTGTTTAGCCATCGATGGGAGGGAAGAACTTCTTCACCTTCCAAGTTTGGCTTCGTTCCTTTCCCTCGTCAACCTGTGGTTGGGCTTTTATCCCAGGGCTCCAGGCAGAATTGCAGGGAATTAAAAGTGATTCAACAGGGCCAAGACAGAAGAACCCCTGTTCTCCTCTTAAAAGGTGTGATGCTCTTCTGTTCACCAGGTGACTCATAAAGCCACAGGAAAGGTGATGGTGATGAAGGAACTGATTCGCTGTGATGAAGAAACCCAGAAGACCTTCCTAACCGAGGTGAGTCTCCTTTCTGGGAAGGGCTGCCCTGAAGATGTCCAGGCACTTCCTTCCAGCACTTCCCTTCAGCAGCCTGGTGGCTTAAGGCCGCACCAGAGGAAAGTGACTGAGCAGCACATTAGCTGATCTCTTTGGGTGCACCAGCATTAGTTACTTTGGCCTCGGTTTATAGAATAGAATCCTTCTTCTTTTTAATTGGCCAAGTGTGATTGGACACACAAGGAATTTGTCTTGGTGCAAATGCTCTCAGTGTACATAAAAGAAAAGATACATTCGTCAAGAGGCAAGAATCATCAGGTACAACACTTAAGAAAAGTCACAGGATACAAATAAGCAATCAAATCATACTAGGAAACAGTCAATATAAATCGTTAGGTTACAAGCGGCAAAGTTACAGTCCTACAGTCACAGGTGGGAGGGGATGGGTGATAAGGAGTCATGAGAAGATTAATAGTGATAGTAGTGCAGACTTTGTAAATAGTTGGACAGTGTTGAGGGGATTATTTGTTTAGCAGAGGGATGGCGTTTGGGAAAATACTGTCCTTGTGTCTAGTTGTTCTGGTGTGCAGGGCTCTATAGCGTCGTTTTGAGGGTAGGAGTTGAAACAGTTTCTGTCCGGGATGTGAGGGGTCTGTAGATATTTTCACAGCCCTCTTTTTGACTCGTGCAGCATACAGGTGCTCCATGGAAGGCAGGTTGGTAGGAATTGTTATTCCAAGCTTTGGGGTGTTCCCTGTCTTGCAGGTGAAGGTGATGCGCAGCCTGGAGCATCCCAATGTCCTGAAGTTCATTGGAGTCTTGTACAAGGACAAGAAGCTGAATCTTCTCACGGAGTACATTGAAGGGGGGACCCTGAAGGACTTCCTCCGGAACGTGGTGGGTGCCGCCTCTTGCAGCCTCAGTGGGCTGGGCCAAGGGAAGGAAGGGCCTTGTGGAAGCAGCAGCTAAAACATCCGGAAGTGCAACCCCACTCCCTGGCTGGCTCACGAATCACGAAAGAAAAGAAAAAGGGTTTGGTTTCTGGCTTAAATACATGGCAGTGGTGACTTTTGCAACAAACCTGGGCTTAGTGTGTATGGAGCCCACCGGTACCTGATATTGCTTTGCTTCCTTTCAAATTGCTCATTTTGGAACAAGGGTAGCCCTTCTAGGCCGTGTGAAATTTGATGGCAAATCGTGGGCCTTTTGCAAGATGGGTGACATAGTCAGCATTGACAGTCACAAAATGGCCCCCTTACGGAGACCAGGGGAAGACGGCCTTGGTGGAGCTGGGCAGGGCCTGCTGCTGCCTGGGCAAAAGTGACTGAAGCGTATTGGAAGTCCAGAACAACAGCAAGAACTTAGCATCCAGAAGCAGCTCAGGTAGAAGACCTCCCTCTAATTCACTGGGAAGATTCTGTTATTGTAACCCATTTGAATAGAAATAGTTTTAACCTTCCGAGGAGTTGATTTCCTGGCTGGTCGGCCTAGTGGGATTACCATCAGTCTTGCAAATCTGATTGGACCTTCGCCACCTCCTTAAGATCCGGTGAATTCAGGAGACACCTGCCTGAGCTGCTTTCAAATGTTATTTTGCTCTTTTCAACTTAAAAAAGTGTTCCAGCTTTGTTTTTTCCTGGGTTTTTCCCATCAAGGTCATCTTGTTCTTGTTTTTTCTAAACACTCGTTTGAGGATTCATTTGGAGCCCAGAAACATTCCTGGAAAAAATGTGATTCTGGGTGTACGTTATTCCTTTGCAACCTGCCAGGTTATCATTATGAAATTCCTTCAGGGCACAGGAGGAATTTCCTCCTCTTCCTCAAAGATTTCCTTAAGAGGAGGAAATTCCCGGCATGCACTGAAGGAATCGCCTGCAGAAAAACCTGTTTCATGTCCTATCTGCATTCTGCTCTACACCTTAGTAAAAAATTGTCGGCTTTTACATGCCCACCACTGCTGTGATGGCAAAACCCTTGGCCGCCTTCCCTGCCTTGAGGACAATTTAACGAAGGGACTCTTTCTTCCTTGCAGGATCCATTTCCTTGGGAACAGAAGGTCAGCTTTGCCAAAGGAATTGCCTCTGGAATGGTGAGCCCCCTTTCCTGGACCCCCTCCTGGCCTTGTGAAGGGGGTGGGTCTGAGGGCAAAAGGTGAATTGCCTAGGGGAGAGAGAGCGGGGATTGCCAGTTCATTCAGCCGCGGGTCAGAAGGTGTGCTGAAACTGGTATAGGGTCACAGAATGTCCTTGGAGCACCTGAGGTTCAGTTAGTCATGTGTTTTCCAAAGCAGCGAGGGTGATGCAAGAGCTGGTTTGCTTCTTGGAAGGTCAAAGCCCGAAGAACGAGATCTGGCTGCCTTTTAGCCCTCCAGTAACCCGATGAGGAGGGTTGGGTTCAATGAGAACTAGAATCTGAGTCCTCCGTCTCAGTCCATTGCCCCACCCCAGCTCTTGGGGGTCTCCTTGGTGTAAGGTGGCTCCCTCCTCTGACTCTCCAGCAGCCTTGCCTCCAGGCATCGGCTCCTCCTAGGAGGGCTGGGACCTCCTTTGGGCTGCTCAGCTGCCGGCAGAGGCAAGCGCCAAAGGCTCCTCGGACAGCAGCTGAGGCGGAGCTTTGGGGCTAATGGCTCCTCGTCTTCACCTCTGGCTTCTCCCTCTTGCAGGCTTACCTGCACTCCATGCGCATCATTCACCGAGATCTGAACTCCCACAACTGCCTGATCAAACTGGTGAGTGCTTGCGTTGCTTGGGGTGCGCTTGGCCAGGTCTGCTTCCTGCTCACCTGCTGAAGTCATAGGAGGAGACTGGCTCCCCTGGTTCTTTGGCCTCTTTCCCTGGGAAGCCTCAGATGGGACTGGCACAAAATTCTCACCTAACGATGCACCAGCCATGAGGGCGGAGCCAGGGACAAGGTGATTAATGTCGGCAGGTTGCAGCAGATCGACTCCTCTCTTGTTGTTAATAACCAAGAGCACCAAAGAATGGTCAGCTGAGATCTTGCATGGATGGGGCTGAGCCCAAAACAAGCGTTTGACCACCGAGGAAGAATCGTTGGACACCTGATAAGGAATTTGGGGATCCCTGTCTCCAGACAGGAAGGAAATACTCTGTAATAGTGTTTTTGAGAAGCATGAATGCCAATCCGTCCGATGGTTACTACCGATTGTTTGGCCACGGATCCCACTTTGAATGGGAGAATTGCAAACACGCCCACAATCACTTTCCTTGAGAATATTGTGGCTTGTGGAACATGCAGTTTATGAATCAAAGCCCGTTCATTGATCTTAACAAGTCAAGGAAGATATAAATCAGGGATCTCCAAATTTGGCAACTTTTGAGACTTCTGGACTTCAACTCCCAAAATCCCTCAGCCAGTATAGCTCAGCATAGCTGGTTGATGAACTCTGGGAGTTGAAGTCCACGAGGCTTAACGCTGCCAAATTTGGGCCAATGAATTGGAGAAAAAGCCTGAACTGGAGGTTTTTCATTGTTTTGTGTGCATTTGGATCTAATTCTGATCTAATTTCAATACAGTTGAAAAACCTTCATGCTTGAGAACCCCAGAACTGCAGGTGATGTGAAGGCCAGAAGGGTTGGAGGGGAGAGCTTTGGTTCTTGTGCCCCTCCGTGGTGCTGATGCCACGTGAACGAAATGGGTCCCCAAAACGTGGCACAGCGGTGCCTGCCTTCAGCACCGGGGCTTCCTCTACCCCAAACGGTCCGGGCCTTCCCTAGAGGGCTGGCTCATTCTTGTGGATTTTGCTTCGTCTTTGGCCCAGGACAACACAGTGGTAGTCGCAGACTTTGGCCTCTCTCGGCTGATTGTGGAGGAGAGGAAGAGGCCCTCCCTGGAGAAGCCACTGGCCAAGAAGCGGACGCTGCGCAAGAGCGACCGGAGGAAGCGCTACACTGTGGTCGGGAACCCGTATTGGATGGCCCCCGAGATGCTGAATGGTAGGAGCCCCCTGACTCCTAGACTCCACAGAGGAGCCTCCCAAACTCCCCATGGCAGAGCCCGGTCCCAGGGCTT